TCTATTAATTGAGTGGACCGAAGAAAAAAGAGGGTCGGTTTTCTCTCCAAGATCGTTTCTTACCAGGCTCGTCCTTTTTTTTTTTTTTTTTTTTTCTTCTTTTTCGACCATTGGTGGAAATTTCCGTGAGGAGAAAGTTTAGATAAATTGTCCGATAAATTGAATAGAAGCTCGAACTGTATCCATTTATAAATATATACGGATAATTAGGATAATTAGGATGAATGGAATGGGAAGTTTCGTGAACTTTTATAAATTAATTTTAGTTACTTAGCGAATTTATTCATTCCGTGAGAAACGATAAATTCGTCGACGAATGTTTCAACAAAGGTTGGAAGGTTTTTCTATACTTTCGAACGAATCAAGGAAGATTTAGATTTAAATATAAATATTTTAAAAGCGATTCTCAACCTTCGCTCTCCTCCTCCTCTCTATGCGCTATGTTCGATCGATTTTAATTGAATTCGCGAGTATAACGCGTTCGAATGCAGAAATCAATCCCGTCGAATTTCATTTCATCGGGCGGACAATTCTACACGAATCTTTCGAATTTTCACACGACAGCACCGAATTACCGTCCGTGGCTCCATTAATGCAAAATGTCGCGTATAAAATCGCGTGGAAATTTCTGTCCTCGATTAATATGCGTTCTAATTATCAATATATTATTACATTATTAATAATTAATCGAGGAACGATAACGAGTGACATTTCGATTCTTTTCTCTGCCGATTTCTTTTTTTTTTTTTTTTTTTAAATATTTATCAATATAATGAAATCGAATCGAAATTATCGTTTCTATATGTGGTTTTGGAAAAGTCGTAATGCATTACTCGTCTCTCAGAGCATCATCTACTTTGGCTCCCGATCAGAGATGGTATTTCATCTCTGTAAAAGGTCGAGCCAAGAACAATACTTATTAATCCTTCGAGCTTCGATTTATATTCCCCCGTTATTGCATATAAATCTGTATTGATTTTCAAGGATTATACATCATATATTCTTCAACCTATCTTTCTTCCTCTTCTTTTTTCACTCGATTCAATTACTCTTTAACTTTCGTGCGAAATATCGATTAAGATGATTAAAAAAAAAAAAAGAAAAACAAAAAGAAAATTATGAATATCGATGAAAAATAAACGAGACAACGTATTCGCCAAACAAAGTGTATCAAAGCGTGCGAATCATTTCGACAAAGAAACGAAATACGAAGAATGAAATCATGGAAATTCGCTTCGAGAAACTTTCTCAATCGTTTCAAAGAATTGGTTCAAGAGTTTCTCGTTTCACGCTCCATGTATACAGTTTCTTAATTCGACTATATACGCGTCTCATCAGCCTTGTTGCACGAGCCCAAGTCCGCGTTATAACGTAGAAGACACGTGATCCTGTGGGTTTTGCCTTGCGCAGATGCGATCCCAGTCCATTGTCACAGGTTATGTTCCTGTCATTATCATTTTCGCTCTCGATTTCTCTTCCCCGATGCGAGTGGGCGACGAGCGGGCGGCGGCCATCGACTGGACGAGGATAAAAAACACGGGTACGATATCCTATGCTTCTCCGTGTTCTTCTGGTTTCTCCTTTTAACTCCGCGTTTCTAACTGTAGTGAATGCGGTCATCCACGTGCCGTGCTCGTATGACTCTCGTGTTCGACACACGATCTCGTTTTGCACGCCTATATCTAATCTATTGTTGCGCAATTCAGCGTTCATTATCGATCAATCGTGGCACAAATCTGGCCCCATAATTCTCCAAGCCGCCGATTATAACGCGATAACGCACTTCCCCTTAATTATCTTAGTTAATTACAGATGTAAGGGGAGTATCCATTCACCATGTTGTTCAAAATATTTTTTCAAAGAAGAAGTATGTAAAAGTGGTATATATCGATATTATTTATTCCAGATCTTTTTACTAGGGAAGGAAAGCTAAGATCCAACGACGAATCGCTTTACCTAATATTTCTCCTAATTATCCGATCGAAGTGATATTATTATTCATTATTCGCCAATATAATTATTTCAACAAACTTATCTCGATTACTTCGTATATTCCTTCCGATTAAAAGCGCACGTTTTATTCATCTGTCTGCGATGTCATCGTTATAAATTTATCACGAAGGAAATTCACTCCGTTCGTTTTTCAAATCGAATCGCCTCGAAAGAAAGAAAACTTCGAAAGAAGAAGACGACATCGAGCAGTGCTCCATGCGACTTGTGCCAAGTAGTGAGTAATGGCACCGTGCGTGCCAGCCCGTTAACGCCACTCCACGTTTCTGCCTTTTTAAATATACCAACCGAACTCTCTCGGCTTCCCAGTATTACGTCGACGACTGACCACGTCGCACGTCTTTTGCGACCATCGGTTCGAATTTGTCGTTCCCCCGCTCGCGCAGAGGGGTGACGATCCGTCTGCGAACGTCGCGTTTTTAATATCGATCCGCCGCGTATTTCTCGTCCTGTTTCGATACGTATTCAGTTCCCTCCGGGGAAGGATTCTCGGGGTCTCGGGTACAGTAGGTACGTAACACTTGTTTGGTTAGGTGAAACACGGCCTTGAAACGGCGTTTAATAGTTTTCGCGGTTGTGTGTGGACGAGATGTGTATATGTATATATATATATATATTATTCGTTCACACGATGTCGATTCTGAAGATGATATGACGTGTTTCATGATTTTCATCGTAAACATGTCGAAAGAAATTGTTCTTGGAATTTTTACTTGTTGATTGTGTATTCGTGGAATAATGGATTGTTTTCGAGGATCGAAGTAAAGACGAAAGTTGGTATACAAATATTGGTCGGTTCTTAAGGCTTCGACTCGTTGTAGGTTAGGTTTGTGTTGAGCGAGATGGAGAGGTCACGGAGTTTCGCTTCGTCTAATGCGAGTTTCAATATAATTTAATAAATTCGATGTAAAATATTCCACGAATATATATCGATTAGTAGAAATTTTCTTGTATGCAATTTATTTAATTTTTAATTGTTAAAACACTTAATCCTTAGTTATTAAATATTCGAATCATCTTGCATAATTTTAAATTTTCTTCTCGATTATTGTTAGATAATTTTATAATTCCGAAATATTTTTATAATAATATTTTAAATGACGATAGAGTCTAATCATAATCCTAGCTATAATACATTCAGTATAATAAACAGTAGTTACATAAGATTCACCTTTTAATGCTCTAAACCAAAGAGGAACAAAACTTGGGCGTAACAACCGAAACGAACCCTCCAGAATGAACTTCCGCGTTTCCCAACCGGTTTGCACAACTATTTAGAGGCAGCTGCGAAAACACACGGCTTGACGGCGCGTTTGACGCTTCGGCAGTTCGTAAATTTGTGTTTTAGAGCAACACCCTGCTCTCAAACTCTTCGTGCGCAGAGACAAAAATCCTCCTCGTCGACAATGAAAAACTCGACCGTGCCTCCTATGTAAAACCCTCCTCGATAAAAAACTACAATCGTAACAAGTTTTTCCAATCCTTCTGCAAATGCAATATTAAAATCTTGAGTCTTTTATTTAAGAATTTTAAGAAATCTGACGGATATCCAGAAACCAAGAAACCGGTTTGATAGAGTTTCTAAAATCAAATGAAATTTCATAGAAGTGCATAAGTGCATAGATAGATTTATTTAATGATAATAATTTAATTTGATGATTTTAAAGTGGAAAATTATTATTCACGCACTAATCTGAAATATGATAGCTCCATTATCCAGATATAATTAATATTTCTTTTCCCTGAAAGTTAGTAAACGTAAATTTTTCTTTCTCTTTCCATTAGAATGTTAAAATATAATGTTAAAATTTTAATATCACATTTCGGAAACGATAAATGTTCGAACAAATATCCACTCTGAATACTTTGCACCGAGTTAAAAAACGGAGTAAGAAGCTTAATAAGATGGAATCGTTTTATCAAGTATCCCGCAACATTTCCCAGAACCAAGAAGTACGGCTGAACTTGGCTCGTCTCTAGAGCGAACACCGGAAACGGCGATCTCATTAGCTTAATGGGAATCAGCTGATTGAAACGCGCGAGTTCTCGAGCAAACTCGCCGTCCCCGCGATTCATCCTTATTTATTGGAAAGCAGCGATACGAAACCGATTTTCTAAAGACGTACAGATCTTTGGAAATGTATTTTCACGTATCAATAGACCCAAGAAACTTGCTACAAAAACTTGACACAAAAGAAGAAGTTGAAGAGCAGATTATGCAAATTAAGGAAAACTTAATTATTGACTTAATTATAGCGATCTATAATTATTCTCGTATTATACTTGCAGATTTGTACTTAAATCGAAGAAATTTGAGAAAATATAAAGATATATTTTTCTTCTTCTTTTTTTAATAAAGATGAAAATATAAAATTCGCTGAAATAAAATCGTTCTCGTATCGCGTTCTTCTTTCTCAATTCTAATCAAAAAGTCACACATATTTTTAAATCTTCGTGGAATATTGAGACGATAAAAATGATTCAGAGAGAATAGAGAAAACGCTGACTAAGAATGAACTCGAATGATAAATGCCACTTACATATTAATTTATAAAATATTTATCAAGATCATCGTCATCGAGATTAGTCATTCATTGAGATGATGCATTATCGATCGAGCACACCTTTAAAAATAACCACCAATCGTACCCCAATAAATAATATTCTGACTTTTCTGATATTACCAAACGAAACACAAGTCTTCGATAGACGCCTGGTTAATCGACGTCTCTCCAACCAAGCCTAGCTTTTCCCTCTCTTCTTTTTCTTCCTCTTCCTCTTCCTCTTCTTCTGATTCACCGGTTCCTCCCTATTTGTTTTAATTCTCCGCCCTCCTCTTCGTCTCACGCGGCTCGTCCTTGGCTTCGTTCGCCCACGTATAGACAAAATTCGACGCCCGGCTGATGCAACCCGCCTAAACCACGCCGAAATGTTTCTAGAAGTTCCCAGTTTACAACGCGGTACGAAACAGGCCTGTTCTCTCTTCCCGCTTTGCTTCTTGCTTTCGACAACAACATTCGTTTAATCGATCAAATTGTCGACGACGATAGACGAATAATGATTAATTTTTTTAAAAATTCTGAAATAACGGGAAGAAATTCTCTTCTTTTCTTTTCTTCATTCTCTTCGTTGACGAAGATCGAACTAATCGGTTAATTAAGGAGTTCGATCAACGAAGATGGAATCGGAGTTGCTGCGGTGAATCGATCCGAGCGAAGGTGTTACGGGATCGGTTTTTCTTTTCCGTTCTGTCGGTCTGCGGGGGAGGCCCGGCTGGAGACCGCCCGAGGACGTTGTTTCGTTGAAGTTTACACCGACTTCCGGGGATACTTGGAGAGAGTTGAATCGATGGTGCGCGTTGCGGGAGGGAGTGAGAGGTACCCGCGCGAGAAAACATCGGTGAAGTTGTAATAAGAGGAATTGAAAGGTGAGTCTGTTTGCAGAATAGATATTTCTTACCGTCTTTAAGAGGAGAATTGTTCTAGAAGAAACTTCGGGGGAACTAATTTCTTTTCGAGTCTCTTTTTAATCTCTCTTTGGATCCCTTCGGTTTCCTATAAAAAGAGCGTCGCTGATGTCGCGTTTGACGGGCAAATTTTGTGTAACTTTGTGTAATTTTGTGTGATGATTTTTTTTTTTTTTGTTGATTCTCTCTATTCTTTAAATTTTTCTTTAATCGAGAGAGAGAAGAATTAAATTATTTGAATGTGTATGTTACGTGTAAAGAAGGATCGTTTTGCAGAATCTTCCTCTACTTTTTCACAAGAGATATCACGGAATCATCTTCCTTTTTAAAAATAAATCCATTCATTCTCCGTTTTCTCGACACGGAACGAAACCACGGAGCTCATTATACTCGCAGATTCGTTCGATTGGTAGACACGTATTCCGGTAGGAAACGCTCGGATATTAGCCATTAGCCAATGCCGATTTGAGGCCACGCCATGATTATTACTTACCAGCGTGATTTTCTATTGCGAAGAATCTTGTCTCGCGAGAAGAACGCGTAAGAAGCGACACCCTACGTCTTCTTCGCACAAACCAAGCTTTTGTTCTCATCTATATGCTGTACGTTTATATTTAGATTATATTGTACAGGAAATATCTTAACGTGCAGAAGTGCGTATGGTTTCAAAAATATACAATATCGTTACACGTGTTTTGAAGAAATATTTTGTGAAAAATTGTACGAGAGAATTTACGTGCAAATTCCAGTGTTCATATTTCATATATATATATATATATGTACGAATAACTTATTTGTTGTTTCGTTTCGCAATAACGGTTTTCATTGTTTAAAAAAGAAAATGGAACGTATTGGAAAAATTATAACATTTCGAACGTTTCGTTTTCAATATGATAGCATTTGTTATTAATTTTTCGTGTGCAAATTGTATACATATATATAAAACATTTGAAGTAAGTTTGATTCTAAAAAAAAAAAAGAAAAAAGAGTTATATTATTTAATTCTCGATTCTCTCATGAAAATTAATTGCTGAATATTAATTACCGATATAATCTAATTCCAATTCATATTATTCACATTCTACGAATAAAACTTATTCTTTGAAACGTCGTCCATTTAATTAAATTACTACCCATCGGAAATTTTCCATCGGAAATTTTATATACGGTCCGACAACTTGCTAATTAATTTTAATATTTTAACATTATTTTCAACCTCGTCAATTAATAATCGATACGTATTAAAAAAATTCTCCGACAAAATAACATGGCGGATAGAAAGATCCAATAATGGAAAAAAAATATATACGATTTCTCACTCGCCGATTTCTCCTCTCCTCTCCTCTTCTTCTCACGAAAAAAAAAATCTCTCGAGAGAGAGAGAGAAAGAGAGAGACGCTTAGAAAGAGACGAGCCGAACAACAGAAGAAAAATACATAAACACTGAATTCTTCTCTCCGACCGAGAGGATAAAATTCCTCGAGTATCGAAAAATAAATCACGGAGGCGGTGTATTCGCTTAAGCTTGAGGGAAGACGAAGAGCGAGCGAAGATCGAGGTTCAAGATCGGCGCCAAGTAGATCTGCGTGTCGAGTGTAAAAATAGTCGAGGCGGGTCGAGCCCTCACCTTGTCCTCGCTTGTCTGCTCGCCTCTTGCCGAGACTCTCTCGGCCTCCTCCTCCTCCTCCTCCTTCTCCTCGAAAGAGGAGGAACAGGTTTGCGAGGAAACCGAAATCTGCCGCTCCCCCGGGAGGGGCGATCGGGGAATCGAACGACGAAAAGCGCAGTTTGGTCGTAGCTGTCGAGTGGCCGAGTGGCTCGATCGAGAGATTCGGATCGGTTTGAAGAAGATTTTCGAACACACCCGATCTCGTCGCCTGCTGTTGATTTTCACCAGCGATATAAACACTCTCCTTGTAAATTATTCCCACCACTTGAAAACTGGTTTGCCGAGGATTACCTCGTTTGAATATTACCTTTGAAATTCGGGGAAATTCAAGGCAAAGGGGGAGGAAGGGGACACCGTTCTTGAATCACGATCCCTTTCTTCGATCTTCGCTTTCGTAGCCACGCGCATCTCTAAGATGGGATTCCGTTAGTAAAGCGAATATTTTACAGGGTTTACAGGATATTTTTATTCTTTTCTTGAGTTGAAAATTGTTTAACGCGTAGTGGATAATATACGATATTATTAACAATGAAACGAATTTTTAAAATTCGTTCCTTTTAAATTGTGTTCAAAAATTTGATCTTTGAATGAATATTCTGTTTATCGTCATTCCCAGATCTATATCTATGATCTAATTACGATTTTCTGTATATACAGAGACAGTTGGCTAACGACAGTTGCGAAACAATCTTCTGAATATGCGAAAGATGCAGAATATTCAAAGTACTTTTTAAGATAATAAAAGTTTGTTTTAATAATCTTATCTGGTCCTTTAACATTTAAACTTAACTGCACGTATTGACGCATCAGCAATTATTAATGTATCAACTTCCCCTGTAATTTTATTCTCCTTAATATGCTTTTTCTTTTTTCTTTTTTTTTACCAGAGATCGTAAAGATTAGAAAGATTCGAGGTCGTAAAGATTTCTTGCTCGGATTTAGTTAGGAGAGAAACAGACTCTTTAATATCCCTCTACTTTTCAAAGAGCAGCTTTCTTTCAGGGAGGCGCGAGGGAGGCAAAGGAAGGCAGAAGAGCGCCTTTCCTCGAAACTTTTCCCGATTATCGCTTATAAAAACGCGGAAGCAACGAGCATCTGACGCCATCATCGACTCCCTAATGCGTCGTTCTCACCCTCGACTTCCTTCTTTCCTGTTTCTTTCTCTATCTTCGACGAGACCCATATGAACCCATTTGATTAGCATTAAAAAAAATTTTTACTGAAAATTCCTCGTAATCATATCCCAAACTTGGAATTATACCAAACGATTTTCTTATCTTCATGGTTTTATTTTCTCTGACGGAAAGAGAGAGAGAGAGAGAGAGAGAGAAAGAGTTTTGTCCAAGGAAATTGCTCGAGCTCGCTCGCCAAATCGTGCTATGTGTTTGCCTTTTCATTTCGTAATGTGGCGAGGTGGAAGAAAATTGAAGGGAGCCGTATAGATAGGAAACGTAAAATTTGGCCTTTTGTGTTGCGCAAAAATGACGATTTGTTGTTCTGTGGATCTCGCGCGGAATCTCTTTTGAAAAATCTATTTCTTTTATGATCCTTCCTTGAATCTAAACTATTGTAAAAAGGAAAGGAAAAAGGAGAATAGAAAATCCCGGTAGAAAATCGGGAATAAATAGAAAAATAGAATAGAATTTACGAGAGTAATCCGTTCTCCAAAATGGCGATTCGCTGCTTAGGATCTTAGGCGGAAATTCACGATCTTTCTCGAAAAATCGAAACCGAAGAAAAATAGAAAAAGAAAAAACTCTCTTTCCTTCTCGTATAACAAAAATAGAAGAGCGACGATTGTAAACTGTTAACTTGCAACCTGTAAAAATCTTGTTCGTGTAGTAATTTCTTTCAAAAAAATCTTCGCAAAAAGAGGAGGAAAGGCTTTGGCCCAGTTTCCGCCCGTTTCTTTCGTTTCTTTCATCTGTGATTAATCGTCGTAAACTGGCGTATCATACTTACTTAATTCCTGCTAAATCGCGTTCCACGTGACTTCTTACAAACCCTTGTAACGTTTCCTCACGGATCCTTAATTGGAGCATAAGTTTCCAAGATCTTACAAAAAGTCCACACCTGTTTCTTATCCTTTCGAAACTGCGTCTCAACTTTTGCAAAAATCTTCGACTTCTCGACTTCGAGATCAAGTATTGTTAAGCGAAGGAACGATTGTTTATTAAAAAAAGAAAAAAAACAAATTGAAGTATCGCGTTTCCAAGTTACAGTTTCGTTTGCTCCACTCTTGACAAATGTTTAGCGAGACTCGTGTCAGCTAGGAATCTTATTGTCAGGAGAGGGTTGAAAACACTTTTACCGTAGACTCAGTTGTTGTCTACTTCTCCCTGGAAAAGCTCGACTATACTCGAAATAATTGGAGGATGTAATAATAATAGACTTTCAGAAATTCTTTCTGAATGTGTAATTACACTGCTCGTCTTCGGTTCGTCGAATTATTAGCAGATGTTGATTAATATTCACAGGGGAGCCTCCTTTATCTACGACAGAACGTAATATCCTTTGTAGAGTTGTTGACACGTTTTGCATTTTGTATACATATCGAACAATATATAATAAATATATTAGAAATAGTAAATTAATTCTTCGCGATAAGATGAATAAAAAAATAATAATAATTTCTATTGTTAGAACTAATAAGAAAATTCTGTCTAAATTTTTCGAGCATAATCGTTCCATGGATTAAGAAAAAGAGAATCTCGAACTTTGTATCGAAGAAGGAAAGGGGGGAAAAGAAAAAAAAGACAGAAAGCAGAAACAGCAAGGGGTTTACAGACAAATATTTGCACTTGTAACGGGATATCGAAATCGCAAGTCGAGCGTACGTGCGGCGACTCGTGGATATATCCCGTATCGTAAAACGTGGCGGACATAAGAAATTACGACAACTGTTAAATTCTTCCTTCTCCGCGTATTATTTCGCCCCCCTATGGCCATTCGTGTGTATCGATTCATTCGTTTCGCGCCGAATAGTACAATGGGCTTCGATTTGTCTCTGAAAAAAAAGAAAAAAAAAAAGAATTGGCTTTTTTGATAAATATGGGTTCATCATACGCGAATAATTGGACAATTTCTCGTTGGACAAAGGAAATATAATTTATCGTAAAATATACTTTTACGCCTAGAATTATTTTGTGAATTTTCTCGTTTTATTCTAAACGTGTACCATTGTATTACGCGATATAACATTAATATTCGTTGCAATGATAATTATATCGTAACACACGCGGTATAAAAATATAATTTAATTTTTCTATGGAATAGAAATGAAAATGAAAAA